TTGAACAAAATTTTAAAACAAGAGAGAAAGAAATATCGTTTATCAATCGAATTACTTCCCTAAATACAAAGTTTAAAAAAAAAACATATCTTTTATTAAAGAATAGTTTATTCCTCATCAATATAAACATAGTTCTGCTTCTTTAAACTTTCTTTGCTTGTCTATATGAGTAAGATGTTATTCATTTGACAGATACCATTGCTAATATAGTTTATATAACTTGTCTGGAACGATATACAATTATTATTTTTCAATACGGTTCATTTTGTAATATAAACAATAATTTGATCGTTATTAATGATTTATTGATTATATTTTACATCCATAATAAAAATCGATTAGTTTGTTCTTTAAATTCAGCATCAAATTTTTCATCGTTTGCTAAATAAGTATTATCAATTACCCATTTTCGAGCGTTTAACTTTAATTCATCACATGATGATTGTCCTTCGACAACTAATGATATTAATTGTGATTGTTCTTTAAATGCATTAATAATTGAAAGTGTAATAGATTCTATTGATGTTCCATTAGTAACATCAATTTGTAAATGACGAAGACGTGTAAATATTCTTACTAAATAAGGTATATATTCTTCTGTTAATTGTGTTGGCGCTGTTGGAGCTGATCGAAGTATAAGTAAATGAATAATACGATTTCCTAAAAGTTGACATGTATCTTTATCATCGAATATTGGAAGAACATTATCGAATGCTATAAATAACTCAGATAGATTTGGTGCAATTTGAAGTAGTGATTTTAATGAATTGTATTCTCTCGATGGATGTAATAACCAAATACGTTTTAAATAATATAAGTATGGAAGTGATATAAGTGGTTGCTGAACTAAAAAAAACTAAAAATCATGAAAATAAATTTCAATTCACATATCCATTATTTTTATAAGTCTTTAATTCATTTGAATACGATACAATATACTCGAGCATTTTGTTTTTGATTTCGCCCTTTTACTTGCGGAGAAATTATATTACAATATTTTCAAAAATATAAATAGCAAACAGAATGTAACTGATAAAAAGAAATATTCGAAAAGATCTATCCTTTGGCTCATAATATGTTACATCTCAATTGAGTTATTTTAATAAAAAAGGTGCCTTTTATATTATTCAATATTTTTTCACTAAAATGATCTTTGCATACCTGATGGTGATTCGTCATCTTTTTCATACGATTGAATTGCTATTTCTTTTATTCGACGGCAACGTGCAATAATTGGAAATGTTTCAGCTAAAGTCATTCCATGATAATCATAAAACATGTCAACATTTTTATAACTTTCATAAGTAGACATTTTCTTTGCCATAGGAGATGAAATATTAAATAAAGGAAATCTATATGGAATTGTATGTAAAACTGCTTGCTGTAGATTTTCATCAATTAAACAAATAATTGGAAAACGAGATGTTATTAAAGCATTCTGATCAATTTCTTCGATTGTATCATAGAAATAACGAAGTGAAAAATTGAATTCTTGAATATTTTGTGGTAAAATATCATACATCATTTGTTCGCTATCAACAAAACAATAATCTTGTGAAGATAATTGCAATGATAAATGTTCTACAGCAGGTATTGTCGTAAATAGTGATTTAAGTTCTTCTAATAACCAAAAATGATTATAACAACGAAGGAAAAAATAATTAAGAAAAGTTAAAGATGAAAGATTATCAAACGATGCTTTCTCCATACTGATTTCATCAATGGTTACATTTAATCGACGAATATTCGGAATCAATGATAGAAGATGAGGTAATTTTTCAAGTGTTTGTATTGATATAGTTAGATCAAGAATATTTAAACATTGACGTGTTGGTAAATCTGAATAACTTGTTTTAAATTTTATTGAAGTAAAACGATTATTATTTGTTTCGACAACATGTTGAAATAAATTGGATTGATCAGTAAGAAGATCAGATATCTCAATTTCATCAAGATTACTAAGATTATTTAATGCATTAAGAAATTTATCTAATTCATCAGCAGTAAAACAAATAAGTGTTAATTTTTGAAGATTAGGAAATATTTTAGACATTTGATGTGAAAAATATTGTGAAAATATTTTACCCTGTAATACAGATCGACAATTACTTATTAATAATGAACGTATTTGAGAACCTATATTTGGTAAAATTGAACGACAAAGTTCATGAAATTGATTACATGTAACATCAGTTAATGATATATGACGATAATAACCTGTTATACATGTATTAAAACGTTTATTTAATCCATAAAATGAACATATTACATGAACATTCGATAAATATTTATATATTTCTAGCAGGATCTCATCAGGAAGCACATGCAAACTAGAAACATGTGTAGCCATCTAGAAAGAACAAAATGAATAATTCAAACACAGTTCTATCTATCGTAGATCCCCTTCGAATGGGAAAAAATCAAATAATTCTATGAATTTGCCTCGAGAAAAGTAGGAAAATTAAGAAATTAATCTTGCTGAACTGATAGATCAAATTTTATATATTTCTTATAAGTAAGGTGCCAGTAATGCAAAAGTCGAGTAAAATTTTTTTTTCAATTTTTTTATCATGGTTAGATAGAGCTCGCCGAGCTCTACAAAACTGTCTTTTTCGATTTTTTTAAAAAGTGTTCGTTGAAGAAAAATTTTCAAAAAGCTATCGAAAAAATTTTCAAAAAACTCGAATTTTTCTATATAAAAAAATCATCAAATTTTTAAGAAATCNAGGGAACCACCCGAGGTGTCAAAAAGCTTTTGAGCTGAAATTTTGCCCACAAGTAGGGGATGCATAGACTAGAAAAAGCCTAAAAGGATATGGGCCCAAGTTGGGATTTGACTGAGATATCGACTATTTACCATAATTTTCCTATAGGATCCTACGTGTCCGATAAAATCAAAGTTTTGAATTTAGGCCTGAAACTTTGTCCACACCAAGGCCCCAATCAGACAAACTTGCCTACAAACTTTCAGAATTCTTGGATAGACTATCTCCGAGATATGAATCTGCCAAAATATCTATGTGAAACATTATATCCATAAAAAAACGTCTTTATGCTAACATACTAGTATCTCGGAGATAGTCTATCCCAGAGTTCTGAAACTTTGTAGGCAAGTTTGTCTGATTGGGGCCTTGATGTGGACAAAGTTTCAGGCCTAAATTCAAAACTTTGATTTTATCGGACAAGTAGGATCCTATAGGAAAATTATGGTAAATAGTCGATATCTCAGTCAAATCCCAACTTGGGCCCATATCCTTTTAGGCCTTTTCTAGTCTATGCATCCTCTACTTGTGGGCAAAATTTCAGCTCAAAAGCTTTTTGACACCTCGGGTGGTTCCCTCGTCAGTCTCAAAACACCCTATATTGACATCGTTCAAACTTTTTATTTATCAATTGAAAATTAATAAATTCTGTCACAATAAATGCTTATCTCAATATAATCTTTCATTTTGATATACGATAGTAAAGGTTCAAGTGGAAAAAGTCCTACGGATCGATTTACGAGTTTATATCTTCCCTCCTTTTCTACAAAAATCTGTTAGTGATATACAAACAAGAATTACATCTATTCAATCACTCAATAATCTTTATACATAATACATCCGATACGTATTAAATCATTTGATAAATGTCTGTTACCATCCGTCACTTCTTCTATCAATCATATGAGAACAGGTGATTTCAATATGAATGCATAAATTAAAATAAAATTATCATCAATCAAAAAACTGAACTATCCTATAATGCACAATATAATAAATGAATTGTTCGGTAACATAAAATAAATAGTATCAATTGTGTAGATAAAAACCAATAAAGTCGAACGAAATACTGATCTTAAAAAATTTTTTTATGACTATATTATTTCTCAAAGAATATTTTGTTTTATTGATTTCAAGATTTTTCAAATGTTATCATTCATAACATTTTTCTAAATAATATTGGCATCTATGAAAAATTGTGATGCAAATAGAGTTAAATAAATAGAAATTGAACATTCTCAGTATTCCCTTGTGTTTGTTTTCTTTCAATAGTTTTTATTACATTGCAACAAAAGAACAAATAATAATTGAATAAGTAGTCACATAGGTTACTGAAGAAAAAGTCTGAGAAAAATAAACATTTTACGAAATAATCTGAATAATAATTTAATGAAATTCATCATCTTTTATAATAAAATGAATTTTCATATAATATATCGGTTAAAAACTTTTTCCGATTTAATTACCATTTATATATGTTTGTTCATTAATTTATCATCTTATCCCTTATGAATTTAATCTTCGAATGAACTCTATTTTGGACATCAATTCACAATAAAAAGTCATGTAATATTATGGTCACTAGCAAGCACTCTAACTAAATTGGCTAATCCTGACCTTTTTCTCTCTAACTAACAAGCTTCTCATAATCATCATTCTGAGACGTACATATATGTACGAATGTTCAATATGGCTCACCCATGCAACGGACAAATTTGCCTTTAATGCGCAACAAAAAAAAACAGTACATACAAACGAAAGATTGTCCTGAAACGATGTTCATCATTTCATTTTGAATTATGAACAGATGGATCTTATTAGAATAAAATTCCATCAATGCATGAATAAACATCAAACAATATTACATGACGTAAACTTAGACAAGTTCAATATCGTTCTCTTCTTTCTTTTTCTTTTTTTTTGTTGTTTCATCTTTAAATGAGTCTTACAACACATTGTTATTGATCATGATGATGTCATCATAGATGATTTTTCATTTACCTATTTTATTTATTTTCAATAGTACACACACGCACATATGTAGGAAATGATGCAAAAACAAAAAAGAAAAACGAATGACGACATGTATTTTATGTAGATACAAGAGACAAACATAAGCCTCATTATGGCATGGACAATTTGAATTCACGGCAAGAAAAAATGAAAAGAAAAAATTTCTACTACAAGAAGAAAAACAAAACAAAAAAACGTAAACAACTCGATAATTATTTCATAAAATTATGTTGATGAAGTTGATAAATCTGTTGAACCATATATTTGACAACGAAGTCGAACATTTTCTTGTTTTAAATGTGCATTTTCAAGTCGAAGTTTAAGATTTTCTTGTTCAAGCCAAGCAGCTCTATAAATAAGAACAAAAACAAAAAAAAAAGAGAAGTCTAATCAATTGATTTATTTATTTTACCGAAGTGCTATTTCATCTTCTTTCGCACGTCGTGCATCACGACTACGTTTAGCAGCTTCATTATTTTTTCTTCGTCGTTCCCAATAAGCATCATCTTTTGTATCTGTTTCATGATTTATTTGTTGACTTGATATTGATGAAGAAATTTCTGGTGGTGGTGTATTTGGTCTATAACGTTTTTTTGGTGGAATATTATTTGTTGTTGATGATGGACTATGTAGTTTATCTTGATGTTGATTAACAGTTTTTATTGGAGAATCTTGTACACCACGATTTATTAAACGTTCTTGAGCTTGTTGAATACGTTTACGAAATTGTTTAGAAAAATCATCATTTGATGATGCTAATACATTTAATAAATTATCCGATGATGGAACTAATGGAGAATAAAAACCAAGTGGTAATGATAATGGATCACGTGGATATGCTTTAAATGGTCGAGTAGGTTTGCCGTGTTTATTACGAAGTAATAAAGGTGGTAACATAGTAGGAATAGATGATTGAACTAATGAAGAAGATTGTTTCTCTTGCTAAAATTAAAAAAAAAAAGAAGAAGATATGAATGAGAAAAGTTTTTGTTTGTTTTTTACCATATCTAAATCTTCTTCATCATCATCATCATCATCATCATCATCTCGCATTTCGCTTTTTATTGTATTCGATGTAGTAGAAAAATCAATAGGTCCAATTTGTTGTTGTTGTTGTTTTTGTAATGATTCAGCAAGATATTTGAATAATAATTGTTGTTGATCATCATGTGTATTTTCTTCATTTGATGATTGATCATGTTCATCGTCATGATGATTTATTTGTTCCATTTGATGAGCTATATCAGCCAAAAAATGAAGTTGTGGAGCGATCTAGAGTTAAGACAAGAAAAAAACAAACTGATCAAACATTGATTTCTTTGTACTTAAAAAAGAAGAAGTGAGCAAGAACAAGAGAAAATATATGTGTCATCAGAGAACAAACTGATCATTATCCGAGAACGATGCTAGGAATTGACATATGTTAATTGAACACTCAAATGATGACGTCACTGTTAACATAAACTAATTCGAAGTTCTTAGTATACTATCAAAAGGTCTATATAGACAAAACGAGAGATAATCCCTTCATTCAAATCAAGAAAACTTTTTGATTTTTTTTCTCTAGTATTCTTAATCTGTATAAAACATTGTTTCGTGTAGACTCTTAGAAAAGAAAAAGATCTCTGTAAGCCTCTTTCCTCGACACTCTCTTCAATGTTGATCCTTAATTCTTTGATAATTGAGTTCACAGTAATGTCTTCTCACTTTAAGTAGTAGCATCATAAGAGTGACACTAAGAATAAACCGCCTATTATTTTTTTTTAGCAAAGGAAGACGAAATTTTATTTTTTAGATAACTCACCATCACCTATTCAACTTGATCATTGATCACCGAATGTACACATATTATTTCTTTCCCTGTCTCTCTCTCTCTATATATATATATTTTCTTTTCGTATCAAATATTTGCTCATATTGTTCATGGAATGCACTTTCATTTTTTTTTTTTTCACCAATGGCTTAGCCGCTATCAAATCTAATATACTCACCATCACGTCTGATTGCGTTCAATGTTGAATAATCACCTGCGGCGGTAAGGCAAAAGAACGATAGAGATGTAGCCTGTTGATTTTCTTATTCCTTTTTTTGTTTTTTGAAAACGAAATATAGATTGCGCAAGGTCGTTCTAACGGCTCTCTTCCGTGTGAGCGATAAAGCAAAAGATTGCTGACCCCTGTCGATTATGAAGATGAATAGTGAGGTCAGCGAAAGAGAAGAAAAAATATTTGACCATCAGTTTGCTCACATACTCAAGGTCATGCTATGTGTATGAACGAAAAAAAAAATAAGGAAAGAGAATTAAATAACACAACGTTCAACATGCACAAGCGAACACAGCTTGAGCTCTTTGGTGATCGATGTGAATGAAAAAAAAAAAAAAAAAAAAGAACGAACACCGCATAGCAGAAAAGAAGATTGGATCGTCAGTGTGTATACATCGGTCACTGGTCACTCAATATACATTAATTACACATTGTATGAGAAAGAACGATCTTGATTATTTCAATCAGAAAGAACGAGCTTTTATGATTTAGATAATTAATAGTGATCAAGATAGATATGTTATGATTTAAATGAATAACTTAAACTCAAATTGTATTATTATAAAAAAAGATTTCGTTTTTTTCTTTTTCAAAAGTAATCCATGAAATTTAATTTATATTAACAAATTGTTAAGATCACTTCTTTTGCAAAAAGGATGATCAGTATTCACAATTATCTGAACTAACTTAGATTGTATGAATAAATAATGGATGAATTTAAAATAGAAAATAATAGTTAAAAAAATGTTTTTTTCGAAATTTTAGTTTACTTGAAAGAAAAATTAGTTTATTCCTATACGGATAAGAAAAAAGTATTGAAATTAATATGGTTTTACACATAAAAAGAGAATCGTTATTTAAAATCTATCGTTATCTTCACATCATCATCATCATCATCATTAAGACTTGATTTTCACGGCTATTTAAAAATGTTCAGTTTCTTCACAGCTCATCACTGATTGTTTTTTTGTACTAAAATAACTTTGTCAATTTCTTCTTTCTTTTTCAATATTTTTGACATTTATAAGTGTATGAACTCAATTCTCTTAATTTTCCATCATTATCATGTGTTATATGATACAATATAATAATAATTGAACAACATTATATGTGACCTTGTCACACATTCGTGTGAAGAGAGATATTAAATTGCAAGTTTATTTTATTTTTTTTTCATAACCAATCAATTTTATTGTCAAATATAGACCAATCAATGTTCTTGATATAATTTTAATCTTGAAAAATTACATTTAGCGAATGTTTTGTTTTCAATAATTATACATTGCAATCTGTTTAGGTAATCTTTGCATCATATGTATTTAAAAACAGATGTCTAGCGGAATTGAATATATATAAAAAAAAAAAAAGACGAAAATGATTAATTGCGATATGTTGAAATAATGATGATGATGTGAAAGGTCATGCATGATATAGAAAAAAAATATTTTTTTATGTTAGAACATATGGAAATAATGTGATTCAATGGAACAAGAAAGAAAAAGAAAACGACTATAAGAAGTATTGCTATATGTTACAAGAATTTATTTGTTTGAAATAGGATATAAAAATTGTTTTTTATGCGTGCATATAATCTCTCTTGAGACAATTATGCTATAGAGAATCTTTGATCTTAACTTCTCACTGTGTGAACTATTAAATAAGATCACTTGAGTTCGTTTCGTTATTCATAAGTTCATAGAGAACACAGAAAAAAAATTTTTTTTTTTATCGAAAAGAAAAATTAAACTTTTGAACATTTTTTTTGCATCAATGATCAGTTTTGATAAGCAAATATATATAAAATAGTGATCTTATCAGAAAGATTGCATAGATTATATTTTCATTGTTCATTAAAATTCGTTTGATAATGCACATATAATCATGTTATAATTACCAAACTGATCACTTGTTTTTTTTTTTTTAAGTTTTATTAGTATCTTTCCTTAAAGTCTAACATGAAAAAAAGAAAAACCCGCAAATCGTATTTTTCATTGATCAAAGTCTTTTGAAATTTCTAGTTTTTCTTTCTTCTTAATTTATAGCCCATGACGCATTATTTGAGACATAATAACAGTACAAAGTTATCTTTAGATAATTACACGGATACGATCTAACCAGTTGCAGATGGTTATATACCACTTTACATCTCTTCGATCTCAGCAATTATAAAAGTTGAGAGTTTAATTATTTACATAGATATATATACTGAAAGTCTAAATGTCAGTTAATAGTCATACTGTTTGTTTAAATAATTTTTATTTTGATTTGGAAAAAATTTTCTTTTTTTTTTTGATCAAGATAGCATTATGAATTAACTGTTTTCTAATTTGATAAGAGAAAGGGATTTTTCATGGGAACTATTAATATTCAAGAAGTAAGATATGTCTTTCTTTGATGATTCATGATACAATAACATCTACTTCAAGCTCGAATAAATATTGTGTAGAAATTAGACTTGTCTATTACGTTAGTGCATATGTCATGCGTCATCAACTTCTCTAACAGAGATAAAAAGCTATAAATAAAACCTTGTTATTATATACATATAAAAATATCAAAGTCTATTCGTATTATCATAGAACAAGAATAATGTTGATTTCCGCATTATTATGTTACAAATGCCGTTCACTTTAGAAATGTAACATCCTTGATAATTACCTAGTCAGTCTAATTAATCTTAAATATATGAATCATAAATTTTCCTATTTTCAACCCTTCTATTTACTTCAATGAGAGGTTGGCGTACTAATGAATATCTATTACTAAAAAAAGAAAAAAAGAACCTTTCTATTTCTATCAATCAAACATTTCGTATTTTAACTACTTTTTTTTTCCATAATAAAATTCAATTCATATCTTTATTTTAAACGAAAAAAAAAAAGAAGTTTTGTCTATTAGAATATGACAAAAGAAAAAACAAACAGCCCGCGTCAATACATATATATACGCATTCATTGAGATTGATTTTTTTTGTTGTATACATTTAAAAACAATAAACAAACGAAATATGACACAATAATAGAGACGAATACAGAGTCGATTCTAATCAATTCTAAATAAACACCCACACACACACACAAACAAATGAAAACGAAAAAGTACCATATATTGCGTAAAAAACAAAAAACAAAAAACAAAAAAAAACTAAAACATAAACGATATTATGAAATGTAATAATAAAGCATATCGTTAAGTGGAGAACAAACAAAGGATGGCCACTTATATACGGCACAGTAGAAAAAAATCGAAACGTCATTGGCAATGTCAAATACAACAAAACAAAATGAAGCAGTGCAATCAGTCTAATATTAAAGACATATGAATACGTCCGAGGAGCTCGGCTCTCTCATCTGTATTCAAAGACTGCTTAGCAGAGATAAAGAAAGAAAAAAGCATAAAATCGAACAACTCGATGAATAAGAAATGAATGAATACTTTAGCAAAACAAAAAGAAAAATCATCACCGAGTCTAACATGAGAGAGAGACATACGCAAACTTACAAACATATTTATGTATATATATATATGACTATGAAGATGCATGAATCATACATCGTAATTTAGCGGTTTCTTGTTTTAGTTGTGATAATTCAAGACGTAGTTTCATATTTTCTTGTTCTAAAATTGCCGCTCTAATATATATATATAAAGAGAGAGAAAGAAAAATTGATTTTCTTTTTATATTTTTTTAAAAATGAAATTTTTACCTTAAAGCAATTTCATCTTCTTTTGCACGTCGTGCATCACGACTACGTTTAGCGGCTTCATTATTTTTTCTTCGTCGTTCCCAATAAGTATCATCTTTGATTCCATTATTTGGATCATCATTTTGTTCTTTCGATAGAGTTTTTTCATCATTTATTATTGGATTTTCCATCATTCGATGGCGTTTTTTTGGTGGTTGTAAAATTTGTGTACCAGACGATGATATAAAGTGTGTTGTACTTAATAATTGTTGTTGTTGTAAACGTTGTTTAAGACGTTCTTGTGTTTGAGCAAATCGTTTTCGATTAGCTGTTGCACGACTAGCTACTTCAGCAAGAATATTTGTTTGTTCCGATGATGTACTAGGACAAAATCCAAGTGGTAACATTAATGGTTCACGTGGATAAGCTTTAAATGGTCGTGTTGGTTTACCATTTTTATTTGTTAATAAAAATGGAAAATTATTTGTTGATTGAAGAT